AAAAATTGCCCAGGAAAAGGAGGATTTCAACAAGGGACTTGGCAAGGTAATAGAGATATTTTTATTCTGGCTCCGAGTTTTTACTACTGAGGCCATGGGCTGACGTTGAAAGACTTGAAGGGAACTGAGAGRTGGGATGAGCTTGAGGGATTGGTTTTGTGTTCTGGGATGCAAGGGAAGAGAGGGTGATGRGGTTGGGATGTTGATTTGGGAGGGAGTGAATGTGCAGTGAGAGAGTGGGGCAGACAGATGGGTGTGGGAGGGTTGTGGGGAGATTTGTCAGAAGGGATGAGGTCAATTCTTGGTCTTGGAAGCCAAGTGTGCAGTTTCCACAGCATCCTTGCTTCTTTTCTGTTATCATTTACTTCCATTGTGTGTGGGGAAAATCTAAATTGTGTGGGGTCTCTACTCATGTTTGGCCAAGGGGTCTTTCATGGTTGTGTCCATAACCTCTCCTCCAGAAGTGTAATTATCAAACCAGAGGCTGGGCCATCAAAAACTCTGGGGTTGGCAGCACRAGGTGGGAGCGAYGTTCTTGCCATCCCTTGAGCACCCYMCCTGCTCCTCTACAGCATTCACAATTGTGACCCCAATCACTCCTGTTCCTATTTCTGTGTCTCTTCCATCTTCCTGCACTTTCCTCCATCAGCCCAGACCCAAAACCACTGATTTTTGATGCCCACCATCCCATCTTTTATCGTCAAGACATCCCCGTTTTCAGCATTGATAGAAGTTTTCTCTGAATTATCATTGTAGTAAATCTCCTGCAGTGAGTGATGGTGGTCAAGACATCCCCCAAGGCCACTGGCTGTCACAGTTCCTCAGAACAATGATGAGCTCCTTTCCCAAAGAAAGTAGGGCACTGAAATGCTGAGTGTGAGCTGTGCAGCTTTCAGAGATTCCAGCAGCTCCTTTGGTCGGCAGCAGATGCTCTGTCCCCAGGGAAACTCTGACTCTGGGTCACCAGCCTGACCTGAGGCACGATAAATCAGGTGCCAGGAGAGCAGGGAATATCCTCTGTGCATGTCTGACCTCAGAAAGGTGGATTTACAGCCAGCCTTGAGGATTGTTCTCATTCTGCTGGCAGAGAGAGTGAGCTCCCACATCACAGAGAGCAGCCACGGCCTCGGAACTCTTCAAACCTCCCTAAAAATTGGAGCTGAGACTGTCACTGCTGAGTAAACCACTGTGCTGGATTCTTCCTCRTGTTCTTTGAGGCAGCTGAGCTGTGCTGAGCACACAAAAGAGATGCTAAATATACCTTGATACTCTCCTCCTCTGTCTTTTCCTTAATAGGATCCATTCTAAAAGAGTTTCATTTAATGCAGTGCTGATGAGACTGTTATCAGAGGATTGCCCTTTCCTTTGTGGCCTGAACAGAAACAGGTTGGAAAAGAAATTGTAACTGTTTATTTTCACTCATTGACACACTCCGAGCCTTTTCTCCTTTTTTAACTTTCCCCACTTTGCTTTTATTTTGCCCTATTTTGATGAAACAATTGAAGTCTTTTCCTTTTCTTCTCCATTTTTCTTTTGGGGCTTTCAGCATTTTTTGCACATGCCCTCCAATGTTTTCATCTGCCAAAATGCCTCTGTCTGAATGCTGAGTTATGGAAGTGATCTGTGTGAGGGGAATAAATTCCTTTGTAGGAATCGTGTCAGATCAAGCTCATTCTTCTCTGTTCAGAGCATTACAATGATGCACAATACCAAAGTGGCCCACAGAAATGAGATTCAGATCACCTTTCTCTGCCTTYCTCACACACCTGTTTCTGCCAAGAGAGCCATTTCTTCTGTTCTCCATATTTTACTTTTTTTTTCATTTTTTTTTAACTGATTTTTCTGCGACAGTCCTCTATTTAAAAAAAAAAAAAAAAATAAAGCTCGTGAGAATATCCAAACATCTATACTTCGAGTTTATCTGATGTTCCTAGTCTTTGATCACAGGAGTGGATAYGACAGGTTTACCCGAGTTCAGAGTCTCAGAGGGAACAAAAACAGTAGTGCAGGGTTTGACATTGAAGTCCTGTGCAGCAGTGAGTTCAGAGTCCTGTGTTGTTTCACATCCTGGACCCAGTTTCATCCCTTTGTGTGGCTTTATTTCCTGGCTATCATCTTGTCTCTCTGTTCTCCAGCTCTGCCAGCCTATACAGATTGTTCCTGCCCTCCCTTTCTGTGTTTTTTCTTACTGCAGCAAAACAGGAGGGATGTATTTTTCCACTGAAAAGTCGTTTAACTTGTGACTCGTGTTTCTTTKGCCCTAACCAAGATGAGATCCCACTGTGCTAAGAAATGCACATACATCAAATTTGACTKTTTTTTTGGCCAGAGCTGCTTCTGATTATATTTAAGTTCTCATCAGGAATGGGTGAGTGAAGTTCAAATCAGTTCCAGTTCCCAAAATAGCCCAAGTGGGTAAGGCTCAGGGCTGGTCCTACCAGAATCCTGTCTTCTGCAGTGATCAATARTCCTCCTTGGAGAAGTAATGCAAGAACAGTCAAATATAGAATGACCCTTCTTCTGTATAATCTCCATGACAAATGGAATGTCAGGAACTTCTCTGGATGGAGATGATCCCTGCATTTTAATAGCTTTTGATGGAATTTTATGCTATGCTGGATCTTCAGTGCAATATTCTCCTATCACTGATTGATTCTTTTAGCTCACATATACATTCATCCTCCCTAATAACTTATATAATTTATTTAATAAGGACAAGGATTCTCTACTTTTAAACTTGCTGTCTCAAAAGTTTATTGGCATCTTGCAGTTCTTGTGTTATGAGAAACAGTAACTCATCTCCTCATCTCTTCCAGCAAAGGTGTGTTTGATTTTTACACACATTTAAGTCCCTTCATTTGTCTCTTTTTCAGGCTGAACAAAAACAGTTGGAAAAATCATCCTAGATAATTGTTATCCATGCTTTACTGACTGAATAGAATAATGATTCCTGTTAGTTTGYAGGAGGTCTGGCCTCATACTGGATTTAATCTGGTTTTCCTTAAGGACTCAGGTGGTAGCATAGAGCAAATGCTTATCATAKCTGCAGATGACAAACATGATAAGAGTGGGAGCACCCTCTGCAGGGCAGAACTAGAATTCAGAATTATTTTAGCAAGCTAGAAAATTAATTTGAGGGGAAATGGTTCGCAATAATAAAATGCATATTTTAAAATAATTTTTAAAAATCATATTTTTGCATTTAGGTAGAAACTTTTTTTGTGCAAATCCACCATGAGTGAGACATTTAAGCAGAGATAAACGGAATTAAAGCTGAAAAATTGAACATAAGGCAACAAAAATTTCTAGCAATGGAAAAGGCAACAGACCAGTGTGTGTGAAAAGGCCTGGCAAGGTTTAAGGTGTCTGYTCTCACAGGACAGACCTGGAGCTTAAAGGAGGATGCAGATTATTTAGAGATCCAAAAGGAKTTCAGTAAAGATGATGAAAAAAGGTTGAAGAACTCTGCAACTTTTCAATTTAAAAGAGGTAAATCTAAGAGAAGACGTGGTAGGAACTAACAAATAAATGAAAATTCTTAGCAAGTCGGTAAGATTTTCTCCTTGTCCRCTTTTCCAAATGAATAACAGGGAACAGAACAGATTTAACAAAAGGAAAAGGCCCTTAGAAAGCACCAACAGCACACAGAGTAAACCCCTGGAATCAAACTGGAATCAGTTGTTGGAGTGTTGCAGAGACAGAGTATTTCTACCACCAGGGATTTTAAGGACAAATCAAACATGTGTCAGGGGTACTTAGGTCTAATTGATTCTGCTGTACAGCAGAGATGGACTAAGATGACCTTTTGAGATTACTTTCAGCATTCTTTTTTCTACTGTAAAAAGAAGAATTAAACATAAGCAGGCTAACCTTGGAAGAAATCCAGAGAGAAACAAAAGAGAAGTACACAATTTATTTATTTTTTTTTAAAGCCAGACTGGTTAAACAAATTACTTACTGACAGACCCTGCTTTTATCTATAACARCTTAACCCCAATGTTCAGTCATTACACTGTCTGGCCTGTGCTGCTCTGGCTGTTCTCATCCATTTTATTTGGTGCCACAGACATGAGTGGCTTGGGTTGATTTTGGAAACTCTTAAAATTTGTTYAATGGGGTGAAATGGATGATGTTTTTGAAAGAAAAGCTGTCTTTTCAATGTCAGAGGAATGCATTAACCTTTGTATTTCCATAAGCTAAACCTCATTTTATTCTTCCTGATCTCTCTAGAAACAGTGAAACTCTTTGGAAAATATTAAGAAAACTATGGTAATACTGCGTTGTAATTATTTTTTTCACAGAGCAATGATAAAAGAATTTATTTTTGCAGTGAACTCAAGCCAGCTGTAGGCAAAAGCCTGAACGATCTGATAGTGCTTCATGGTAACATGTTAATAACTTGAAAACAAAAAAAAAATTACTTTTTTAACAATATCTTTCAGTCCACATATTTTCGTTTTTTTTGGCACAACAATCTACCCCATGGTAACTCTTAATTCTGTTGTAAAACTTCTGAAGGGATGGTCAGAGGARACCTTTATTCAAAAAATGAACTTAAATTTTCTGTAGTATTGGTTTGCATAAATGTATTTTGCYTATCATGTAAAAACTAAAATTGCATTTTGCAAATAAGGCACTACCATCTTTGCAGTCATATRAGGCAAATTTATTAAATCTGTGGTTTTCAGTATTGTATAAAAGTCTTGGCTATCAAAATAATTTTTCCTGATATTATTCCTTTTGTTGGTCTGATATTTAAATTTTTCTTAAACCTGTACCTCATAATGTCCAGTTCATCAGCCTTGTAGTATTTTTCCAGTTGGGCAGGGCTTTAATCTTGGGAAGGAATTCTGCTAAACTATCAAGAAAGTTTTTTCACCAGTTATCCTGTCAGAAAGGCAGACTTTGATGGGGTTTTTTTTATGCAAGGATTGGGTACTTGAAAAAGTTCCTTCAGAGCTCCAGGTCTGGTGGCCAATCAACCTGTGGGAAAACAAGAGCAGCAAAACAAGTTTCTTAACATTTTGTGAGAGCTWTTTTAATTTTAAGAAAAAATAAATTGTACTCTCTGTCACTACAGGAATTTCTGGAAAATGAGCAGGAAATACCRAACATGGTGACAGCTCTAACAACAAAAATTCAGCAATGAGGGGAAAAGATCAGAGATACTCACAGAAGGCTACAATTCAAGGACTGGATAGAACTGGAAGGACTGGAGGATACGCTGGTTGTCAAAAAATCCTGGCTGGGAGATCCCTGTAAGATATATTGAACTTGTTTATTTCTCAATTTTTATTTTTTTCCTTCTAAATCCCCCAATATGTTCATTCTTAGAAGCTTTCATGAGGAACTGTAGTGACGGAACAAAGGGGAATGGTTCAGACTGAAAGAGAGGAGATTTAGATTGGATTAAGAGTAGGAAGAAATCCTTCCCTGTGAGGGTGATGAGACCCTGGCACAATTTGCCCAAAGAAGTTGTGGCTGCCCCATCCTTGGAAGTGTCCAAGGCCAGGTTTGACAGGGCTTGGAGCAACCTGGGATAGTGGAAAATGCTCCTACCCATGGCAGGGGATTGGAACTGGATGATTTTTAAGGTCCCTTTCAATCCAAACTATTCTGTGACTGAATCTGTAAAACACAGCAGTACAGCTGAGTTGTATCCAATCCTCCTGCTGCAGATTGAGACCATTTATTGGAAGAACCAGGAATGCTTTAGGGCACAGCCTGGATATAATCATCCTTAAYTTCCACTTGCTGAAGAGCTGTGGTAATAGCAGTGAGGGGGCTGTAAAATAGTGAGCATCACTCATCTTCCCAGAACTGTGTTTGCTTTTCCACAAAGGAGAAATGAAATTAACAGACCCCAACTCCTGCAGYTTGTGGCTGGGTGGTTAGCACTGCAGGACTACATGGTTAATTAATGTTTATGCTCTTTAGAATTTTAATGTGAGCAATTTGTACTGCTGTTTTGTGTGGCTGCCAGTATACATATAATATATATATATATATATAATATATGTATGTATATCATTCTTTTAATGCTACTGAGAGAAGGTGATAAAGACTTTGTTAATTTGTATTTCCCATTCCAGGTTTTGCTGAAGGCTAAAGCACTGGAGTCCAGCAGGAAGGTCAGTGGTTTGGGTGCAAGGCAAGGTCCATGGGGTGCACTGCCTTCCTACAAGCTTTTTTTAAATAGAATCCCTCATTCTGCTTTYAAAATCAACACACGATTTTCCAGACCTAGCAAAAGATGTACTCTTTACCTGGGACTTGTTACTTTTCAAAAACAAGATATAGCACAACATTTAAACCAAATTAATATAATCTACACAGAGAAATACACATGAAAGAGCAAAGTCCTTAGATGTGGATTTTTAACACCCATTTTAATCCCATAGTTTTAGAACTTTTCCCTAGATCAGTGTGTCTGTGAATTAGACATTGTACATAGCAATACAGACACCACTTGATTTCCCTTAAGATAAAGTACTTCCTTAATCCCTAAATAAAAYCTTGCTTCTGCATGCAAGACTGAGTTTGTTTGCACACAATTTTTAGGTGCAGTGAACCTGCCACTTGGCATTTCACATTAAAAAAAGTCACATGAAATAAATCTATCAGGAAGGGCATATCAGATGTAACAAAATCAAACCTTCTCTGGAGGAGAGTGACAGCTCAAGGCACCCTGGCTGAGGTGACACCTTTCAAAGCCCCTGAGCTGCTGGCAGACTCTGCCCTTGGCAGTGTTGGTAGGTGATAGAATGAAAAAACATWTTACTGTCACACTTATATAGAAATATGCACTGTTACAGCCAGTGATCCGTACAGGGATAAGAGTTTAATTCAACCTCTTTAATTCAAACTCCTTGCTCTGTTTTTGGCCCTTCAGCACTGCTCTGCATCTTYTTCTAGACCCTCTACAGCACCAAGTTGTGGTGACCAATAGTAACACAACTACCAAGAAAATAAAATCTTTATCTATTTAATACTCTCCAAGAAGCTCTYCATACATGAAGCACACAGATCATAACCTGTACCTTATAGAGAATTTTACAGTGCATTTCTTCTTGTTTTACCCAACAGGTTCAAACATCATGAAAATCATGTTTTATCKTATGATGGAAGGAAGAAGACAGTTTCTTTGTACCTGGGGATAAAAGCTAGAGTATGTGATGAGAGAATCAAGTTCTCTGATATATTCAAGCTCTTTTTCTTTTTTTTTTTTTATTAAAGTCTATTGAAAACCAGTCTCTATTGTTTTATTCACATATCATGTTAGGAAATGAACATTACACAAGCAAACCATTGTACTAGGATGTGTCACAAGCTTTTTATACAGATTCACAGTGATAAATAGATAAAAAGACATTGCTTTTGATCTATACCAGATATTTAGGAAGAGTACAAAGTGCAGCTTTTTAGTATTATACAGTCTCACCCAGATRTGTTTCACCAGAGGTCTGGCACATAAACAACTTCTTTTCGAAAACAGAAGTTTCCAAAGCACAAAAATTGCTTCATCCAGATCACTGGGACAGAGTTGTTGGCACAGGCTCCTTTTAATGTCCATTCCCACCTTCGGAGAGGATCCGTGAGGGCTCCGTGTACTTTGCTGTCATCAGGTAGAAGAGGGCAGGGGCTGGTACCAAGGCAAGCAAGGGCAGGTCCTGCTCAAGCTTATCCAGTTTGGAAATGGAGATGATTCCATAGGCATGAAGTAACCAGTGGCTGAAGAGGACAACAAGCCTTTTCTTTCTCACCAGCAGATCCTTGAAAAACTTGCAAAATAAACACAATATCCTGTTAGCATTGAGCCTGTTATCCAGCACCTGACATTTAAGAGATGTTAAAACCATCTGAAACCTTCTAGGTTTGAGTCCTTCCAGCACACACAGTTTCCCATCACAGGGAATTCTCACCTGAGCTTCCTCCAGCCAAGATTAGGGATAAAGAGGTTTAAATGTAAAATACACCRCTGAGAAAAGTCAACAAACCAAATGGTCTCTGCTCACTCAAGTCTTTTTTACTCTGAGTTTTAACATAGGAAATGTGTTTACCCACCTCCACTTCAGAAGCAGACATGTACACAGCCAGTGTAACCAATGACAGCACCAGGATGATGTATGGGAAGGCATAATCTAAAGGAAAACATGCAATACATTAGCAAGCAAAAAATRGCATGGCTTATCATTCAGCAGAGTGAGTTTTTTCACAGGTATGGAACAAACTGACCTACTCTAGCCTGCCTCTTAGCATGGCATCACACATGCACAGCACAGCCAAGCACAGCCCTTCAACAGTGCCCTCTGAGGTTTTCAAACTTCTGCTTTTTCTTGGTGGAGTTACTGATCACTTACACCATGAATTGAAAAAGGCAYATAATGAGAAAACTAGTCAGGCTGAGTGGGGATTTTGTGGCACCTCTCCAAATGTGACAAAAATTCTGGAAACTAAACCAAAAATAGCCCACCAAAACCAGCCAAATTTACACTGAAATCCATCTCTAAAATCAGACAAGCTCTGCCTTAGCAAAAAGTACAGTTTCCTCTGAAGTACTTTTCTSTCACACCCCCTCTATTCCTTTCTTGGGAAAGAGACAGTGTCCAGGAGCAGTGGCTGAGGCAAAGCAGTGCTGGTCAGGAGCCTGGTGAGGACAGARTTCCTAATGAGCAATCTTTTCAGGTGAAACTCCTCAAAATAATCTCAAACTAATATCTTTACTCCCAAAGCAAAGAGTGTCCCTTCCCTCTCACCCCTAAGTCCTTCCTTAGTGTGCATTTATAGTGTGTTCAGGAGTGTTTTCAGGACAGAACTCACAGAGRAGGCCTCCTCCCACAGCCTGCAGCACGGTGAGGATGGGGAAGAAGTAGAGTGCTGCATAAATGCTTTTAAATCGATCAGACCTTCCCAAACCACAGGCAATCTTCTTAACCAGGAGAGGACGAAGCAGCATCATTAACACGAGGCAGAAGGCATAATAGATAAATACAATGGTGTACCTGGGGGCAAAAAAAGAAAGATTCCTTAAAATGTACAGTTTTCTTATGGAGATTCAGGTCACAACTATTTGGGTTAGTCAGTGAAGTCTAAAGACTTTATAGGCAAAAGTTGTAAACACAGAATGATGGGCTCATGTTTCCTAGGAGAAACAGTCAAGTTGTTTTCCTTTCTAAGGAAAGGAAAGCAAGAAGACAAAAAGAAGTTTAAAGCTACATAGCTAAATAGCAACAGGATGAGARAACRYAGGCTGCACATGGKGAGGTTCAGGTTGGACATCAGGAAGAATTTTCTCACAGAARGAGTGAYCAGACATTGRAAMAGGTTACCCATGGAGATGGCAGAGTCACCATCCCTGCAGGTATTTAAGGAAAGAYTGTRGCACTCARTTCCATGGTGGTGCATGGCCATAGGACGGACTCGATGATCCCAGAGGTCTTTTCCAATTTAATTGATTGTGTGATTCTGTGTGATAGCCTGGATTACGCCAATTTCTTCAATTACTCAGAAAGTCATTAAGTGTTGTTAGAACCATGTAAAACAGCTCAATGCATGCAAGATTCAGTGCATTGATTGTCACTGATCCCAGCCCTGTCTGAACACTTTTGGCAGCTTTGAGGAGAGGCAAGGACACAAACAGAGCAGTGCAAAGGCAGGGACAGACAGGAGCACAAACACTTGCCACTCACAGGGGGTAGACGGCCTCGTGGGTGCAGTGCACTGTGGTGATGTAGTCAGGGCTGGGGTTGTAGAGCATCGTGTACCAGTCTGAGAGCTTCTTCACCCTGCAGGAGCGGATGTGCAGGGAGCCCACGGGATCACTGACCAGCAGCGTCACCACAGCCGCCACGCTGCACTCCAGCAGGGCTGTCAGGTGCTGCAGCAGCGCGCTGGAACTGCGGGACAACACACAGGGTCACTGCCACTCTGCCAGTGTGAGGAGAAATCCAAACACCCACAGAAAAGAGGGGGCCTGGGCAGGGCAGAACCTTCTGCAGAGTTAAAATCCATTGAGTGTGAAAATGCTTTTACAGTCTCAGGTGATTTAGCGTGTAAAAGAATAGAGCAGTGAGAGTAATACACTGCACACCACAGAATGGGTGACATTGCTGCATGTGATATAAGCAGAACTGCAGCATTTCCAAAGCAGCAAGTCCTTGTCAAAGTTGGTAAATACTCAAACATTCTCAGTCTCCTTTTTTCAGTGCTTACAGAATCATGGAATCACAGAATGGTTTGGGTTAGAAGAGGCTTTAAAGACCAACAAGTTCCAACCCCCTTCCATGGCAGGGCTGACACTCCAGAGTCACTAATTCTTAAAAAATTCTAGACTAACACCTAGTGGCCATAGCAGATATGGATTTAAACCTCTTTTTCACAGASCTTCTTTGATGCAAAGGCCACAGCAGCTGTGCTATCCAGACCAAAACCCAGAATAGATATTCCTGAAAGAAAACTCAAACCCATCCTCTCACTGCACATGTGCAGCCCTGCTGACACTGGCACAGGAGAAGGGAATGACACAACCTGCTGCTCCTGCCTGCTGGGAAACCCAATCCAGCCCAAACTGCCAGATGGGCAGTGTACCACCACATTAAAGAGATACAGACCATGCCCTGAGGGTGGTGACTGGCCAAGATGATCTGCAGGACACTTGCATTTGTAAAGAAATCCTCCTCCAGCTGCTCAAAACTGACATGCTGCTCTATCAGCTCAACCAACAGCCAGAGTGGATGGGGCTCTGAGCAACCTGGTCTGCTGGAAGGTGTCCTTGCCCATGAGAGGGAGTTGGAGCTGGATGGTTTTTAAGGTTCCCCCCAACCCAAACCAGTCTGAGATTCTAACAGTTGCTGACAGTTCCATTCAGCATCTCAGATCCACTCACTCAATTTTAAAAACTTAGGAGACACAAACCTCTTCTTTCCAGAATACCACTCAATAAAGAACCAGTGTAAAACCAGGGGCAGCATGGCCATGAAGCCGAGGTACAGCCAGTCATAGCGGTCTGGAGATCCCATGCATTCCCGGCAGATTTTGTGTTCGTCGGTTCTTTGACCTCTAGGACACACCTACAGAAAGCAGAGGTTGTATTTACAATCCCAGTACCAACAGCAAATCCCTGCAGCTCCTGGAAAAACAGCTTAAAGCAGTATGGGGTAAGACATAGACCAGATTTTTTAAGAGATGAAACAATAACCCCGACAGTTTCTCAATTTACACTCTCTCTCTGGCTCTTCTTTTTTAATATAACCAAGGATGAAGCATAACTAGAAGGCTTCACCCAAGCCTCCATTTTCCTCTCCTGCTGTCACACCACTCCCTTTCATCTCAGCTCACTCACCWGGCTGCAAACAACCACTGTTCCCCAATTTCTCACTTCCCTTTCATCCCACCCTCCCTGGATCCCGCTCTCCCTTAACACTTCAATAAAATCGCTGTGCACAATGATTTCAGCACAGCTCTCCACACCTTCCCGTCCTGTTCCACCTCTTCCTGCCCTTCCACTCAGCTCGGGCTCAGCACCGAGCCTCCAGCAYCTCCTTCGGGAAACGTGTCACGGTGCAGCTCCTGTTTCGGTGGCGGTGCTGCTCCTACGGGACCCAGGGCCATCCATCCCCGGGCCGAGCMTCGCACTCACCCCGCAGTCCCCGTAGGTCTCCACGGAGCCGTTCACCGACAGGACGGTCCTGCCGCAGTACAACCCGAGGCAGGCGGGCTGGATGTCCACAGCTGCGGGGAGAGCGCGGGCCGCGTTACAGGAGAGGCACCAGTCTAAACCCGCTCCAGCCGCAGACAACACCGACACACATCCCCACCCTGTCCCAGCCCCTGCCCCATCGCGGTGCCCCATCCCGGTGCCCTATCCCGGTGCCCCACCCCGGTGCCCCACCCCGGTGCCCCATCCCGGCCCGTCCTACCAGCGCGGAACATCGCGGTAACCCAGCAACAGGCACCCCCGGTACTTCCGCTCCGACACTTCCGCTTCCGCCGCGGGCCCGGCTCCACCCGGGAATGTGGGGACGCGGGGGCGCGCAGGGGGCGGGGCGAGGGGCGGGGCCGGTGGGGGCGCGGCCCTGGGAGGGGCGTGGCCTGTGCTATGGGCGTGGTCACAAGGCGTGGCTTCGACCGGGCCGCGCGAGGGGGCGTGGCCTCATATGGGGAGACGCCCATATGGGCGTGGCCTCCTTGCCTGAGGGGCGCTGCTGGGGGCGTGGTCACAAGGCGTGGCTTCGAAAGGGCGGTGCAGGGGGGCGTGGCCTCGTATCGAGGGAGACGCCCCGTGTGGGCGTGGCCTCGTTGTGAGGGGTGCTGCTGTGGGCGTGGTCACAGGGCGTGGTTTCGAGAGGGCGGTGCAGGGGGGCGTGGCCTCGCATCGGGGAGCCGCCCATGTAGGCGTGGCCTCATTGTGTGAGGGGCGCTGCTGTGGGCGTGGTCTCCCGGGGGCGTGGTCTGTGGCCCCGCGGTCCCCTCCCGGCGGTGCGGGCGCGATGGCGACCGAGGGGCGCGGTGACAGCGGCGGAACGGGACGGTCGCTGCCGCCGCACTCGCCCTCAGGCGCGGTGCTGCACACCGTGGAGATGCACACGGGYGGCGAGCCGCTGCGCATCATCCCGCGGCTGGAGGCGGCGGAGCGGGCGGCGGCGGCGGGGCTGTCGCTGCTGTCGCTGCGGCGGGAGGTGGCGGCCGCGCAGGACCACGTGCGGCGGGCGCTGATGCACGAACCGCGCGGGCACGCCGGCATGTACGGGGCGCTGGTGGTGCGCGGMGGGGCGGCCAAGGAGGGAGCGCACTTGGCGGTGCTGTTCCTGCACTGCGCCGGCTACAGCGCCATGTGCGGCCACGCCGTGATCGCCCTCGGCCGCTTCGCCCTCGATTACGGGCTGGTGCCGGCGCCCACCCGGCCCGAGACMGCCGTCCGCCTGCAGTGCCCCTGCGGGCCCGTCACCGCCTTCGTGCCCTGGGACGGCCACCGCAGCGGCAACCCCGTGCGCTTCCACAGCGTGCCCGCCTTCGCTGCCACCACCGGTGCGAAACACTGGGTTTTTAGGGGGTTGGTGGCCTGGCTGGGGGGCATCTGGAAAATAGCTCTCTAATTCCAATTTCACTCTACTTCAGAGGTAGTCAGGGATGGCATAAGGTGTCACACACTGCTTTCTGACATAGGAGCGCTCAAATTATCATCCCTGTCCGCTGCCCTTGCATGCAGCTGGGATTCTTCACTCTATGCAAGCCCGTGGCTCAGCACAGCCTCACCTCCCTCCCTTTCTCTGCTCAGACTTGGCCATTGAYGTCCCTGGCCATGGAAAGGTGGTGGTTGACATCAGCTACGGTGGCACTTTCTACGCCTTCCTCAGTGCAGAGCAGCTGGGCCTCGATGTGTGCTCTTCAAAGACCAGAGACCTSGTCAGTGCAGCGAGTGCAGTGACAGAAGCGGTGAAGAAACAGGTATGGAGGAGCACTGTGGTACCCCAGCATGCTGGGGTGACTGCACCAGGCTGAGATGCTCAGGATGGCAGGGSAATCACATCCTTCCAGCCCCATGCTGAATTTTAGAGTCCTTACAAGGATGAGAAGGAACCTTYCTGCTGCTCTGTTACCTGAAAAGTAGAGGTGGAAATGCAGCAATGTGGCCCTGTCCCCTGCCTCTGTTCTCACATAAGCTGCACTGTTGCTGCTGTGTGCATTTGTGACCCTCCCTGTGCTCTACACAGGTCAAGCTGCATCACCCTGAGAGTGAAGACCTGGCTTTCCTTTATGGCACCATACTGACAGATGGGAAAGATGCCTTTAGCGAGGAGCCCACCACCAACATCTGTGTGTTTGCAGATGAGCAGGTACAGAAACGGGCTCTTCTCAGGCACATGAGGCACCACCCTTGTCCCTTTGGCCCTTCCTTCATGTGCTGCAGAGAACAGAGACTGTTCTGTTACCTGGTTTGGGCAGTGATTGCTTGTGCTGCTGTCATGTCTCTGGAGAGCTGAGTGTCGATGCACGCATTGTGGTTTTGGTTCTAAATAGCAGAAATACTTCTACRCACCTGTTGATAGGAGATTTCCAGGAGTTCAGGGGCTGAGACAGGATCCCAACATAGTACATATCCCTAAAGTCCTAATCTAGGGAACATCTGTCAGGGATGAACAGAGCAAGAGAGAAATGGGGTGTTAAAATTCTGTTCTTTTTTGCCATCATAAAGTAACCCATAAATGGCAGGGGAAGTGTTGGACTGTCCAGCATTGAGGAATGTGGAGCACTGGGACAGGTCACCTCAGAATCTGGCCAACACTGTGTTTTTGGAGATTTTAAAAACCAGGCTGSCCAGCAGCTCCCTCAGTGTAAGGAGAACCAATCTTGCCTTGAGGTGTGASAATGGGGCAGGTGGCCTCAGCCCCTCTCAGTCCTTTTGCTATGAYGCTGGGAAGATTTCAAGTGCTCCTAAATCACCTCAGTGTTTCTGAGATCATCCATCCCTAATTGTGTCAAAACCAATCACAGTCCAGAAGCACCCCAAATCTGCTTCTTTTTTCCTTCTCATTTGTGATGTGTCTGGATTCTCTGCCTCTGGATTTGAGGGGTTTCTCYCAAGTATATTAATAAAGGTGGCAGAGAGCTGAGGGGAGCAATCTCATTTTGTATTAAATCCCAAAATACTCGAGCTGCTTCATCTCTCCTGCTGTAGGTTGACCGAAGTCCAACAGGYTCGGGGGTGACAGCTCGCATTGCCTTGCAGTACCATAAGGGACTCATCCAGCTGGACCAGACCAGAACCTTCCGGAGCAGCACCACAGGCTCCCTGTTCACTGGGAAGGCAGTGAAGGCAAGTGACTCCTGCTGGAGTTTCCCTTTGTCTCACTGCTGGAAATGTACTCAGTGGGGAAGGAGAAAAGCKTTTCTGTACCTGGGGAAGGGTGCATGGAAGGAGGGAGGTGCCTGCAGGGTCTTGCTCTCCCACAAACATCATACTTCAAGGATTTTAATTAGAGAAACAAATAAGAGATCTTGCAAGACCTTGTGTTTTGTGGCTGCTGCACACTTTGGGATGCACCTGGGCAGGGCAGAGTGCTCAGGGAGGGGTGTCTGCAAAAGTGCCAAGTAGTACTGGAATTCCATAGGCTTGGGAATGTGGGGAACCTGCTGTTGCCTCTGTCCCGATCCTAATCCCTCTGCAGGAAACCAAGTTTGGGAACTACAATGCTGTCATCGTGGAAGTCTCGGGAGAGGCCTTTTACACTGGGACAGCCACCTTCACTGTCGAAGAGGAGGACCCGCTGAAACAYGGCTTCCTCTTCAAGTGACCCGAGCCACAGGTGGTGGCAAAGTCTCGCCGATGGTGGTGCCTTAGGATTCCAGCTTCTCTATTTTTCATGTATCTGTAACCCTGTAATTCTTTAGTGGATAACTCCAGACTCCATAGACAGTTCTAAGCTAACTGTTCTCCCATTTTTAGACAAAACTATTCCTCTCCAGGCCCAAAACTCAAGGACACCTCCYTGTGCCAYGCCCCAAGAGATGGAAACAACAGTGAATTGGGAGGAACAGACTTGAAGTAAATGAMTTCATTACCTGAAGCTGTAATTGGAGGATTAACCCCTGATGTGCAAATGGACAAAACTGATAAAGTGTARAAAACCCCTGAGCCATTGTCCATTTTGGGTATAGCCCCTGRATGGSCTGGGACTGCCCTGAATGTACCTGAAGGCCCTTCCATTAATAGAAGTGCTTTTTAGTCTTAATTTTGTGTAGCCTCTGTTCTAGGTAAGCCTGATAAGGCATCAGTGGTGCTGCACTTTTCTGCTCATGAATTTCTGTTCTGCTTCTCCACACAGTTTGTTGCAACAGGAACAGCTTTGGGTGGTGTAACAGCATTTGTCACATTTCAAGATAAYATGCTTGTTGCCCTGTTGTGATTAACATATACAGGCTGCTCTGAGAAGCCATAATATTTCTCTTTTTTCTTCCCAATAATCCACTGAAAATGGAGCTGATCTTGGAGAGCTGCCTTCAAATTTATGTGCCTTCTCTATGTCTGCAAATTATGAATTTCAAAGCCAGATTCCTATTAAATGCCGGCTGAAAACACTGCCRTTTTCCTTGTTTTCACTCCTGGAGCTCATTTCCAGGATTCTGCTGAGTGTGTCACAACTGTTGGAATGAATTGCCAGCTCTGCCTTGTCTCCTGCTCAGCCAGCTGTGCTGCTCTGTCTCATTCCTCAGCTTCGCAGCTCTTACAGTCCAGACAATCTCTTCCTCACTCATTTCACCCCACCAGGGCCCTCCTGCAGCCCAGGGCTGGATGCAGGTATTTAATCAGAACTTTCCTACTGTCCCTGCTGAGTGTCCRTGCTGTGCTGCTTCCTTAAGCCTTCCTCGTTTATCTTGGACCACTGGCTGCACACACCCCGTGGTTAACTTTCAACAGGAGCAGCTGTGTTTGAACATCTGAGCCATTATGACCTTTGACTGCTAATTATTTACTGATTTTGTCTGAGTCCAGGGGCAGCTTGTGCAGCTAAGTCAGTGCTTGCTTTGCCAGAGTGCCTCCAGGGAAAAACCAAGTGTTTTCAGTGGCAGGAGCAGAGCTTCTTGTGGCCTGTCACTTCCACTCTGTCTGAACAGTGCTTATTTATTGAAGACACTCATGGGARTAACTGGCTGCACTTGTTAAAATGAGACATGAAAATGAGAATGATCATCTCCCAGTAGCTCATGCAGCAGAAGGGAGAAAGTCATACTGGTGACCTTATCTAAGACTTCCACAGAAAAGCCTGGGAGGAATTTCTTCTGTCAGTGTGAAAATAACTTTGGAATAGGAGGAAAAAATCCCGATTTGTACAACAGCTGTGCTGCCAATAGASCGTTTTTAGGATGGTATCTGGGGCTCTTGCTCCCAGCTTTCCTGTAACCCCCTTGTAAGTCCTACACAGCCTCTAGTCTACAGGAACAAGAAGTGACACACATCCTCTGTGCAGGAGCAAACTCCTCCATGTGCTTTCAGCCTCTGGTATCTCCTGATCAGCCCTCCAGCCTGGCTCCTGGGGAAGAGCTGGGACAGTAAATCATGAAGCCTAGCACAGGATGTTTGGAGGTTCTTCAGCCATTAATTGGGGTGCATCCTTCATTAGTTATTCCCTACATTTGTCCCAAAGAAACTTTCCAGGCAGGGGCAGGCAGCTACAACATGGATGAGAGTGGGTGGAAAGGGTTCTGCTGCCCCTGTTGGGATCCCTGGCCTGATCCCTCAACCCTATAGCTGGTGATCCCTCTAGCCCAAATCTGGGGAGCCGGGTGGGTGGTCCCAGCCTCCACCAGAGTGTCTGGGGTAGCTGATCCTTCGTGCGGGGTTGTGCGGGGAGAGAAGCTGGCAGGGGCTGCGAGGGGAGCGCGTCTGCGGGGACCCATCGCCGACTCTGGGGTGGGGATGATGCCGGTGTGGGGTGCAATCCCCCGGCCCCGCTGCTCGGCTCTGGGGGCTCCGCTCCGCCGCCCCCRGGTCCAGCCGGGCCGGTTCCCCGGGCAACGGCGGCCGAGCGACGTCAGCGGCCGGAGCGGCGGGGCCGGGAGGGAGCGGCGGGGCCTCTGCAGCCGCGGCGGGGCCGGGACATGAGGCTGCGCATGGAGCCGGCGGCGGCCGTGCCGGGAAACCTCTCCCGCGGCGGCGGCAACGAGAGCGGCGGAACGGCGGCGGCGGCGGCGGGGTCGGGGTGGTCGGCGGCGGCGCTGGCCTCGCAAGCGGCCGCGCTGCTGCTCATCTTCGCCCTGTCGGCGCTGGGCAACGGGGCGGTGGTGCTGGTGATCGCCCGGCACCGGCAGCTCCGCACGGTCACCAACGCCTTCGTGCTGTCGCTGTCGCTGTCGGAGCTGCTGGGCGCTCTGCTCTGCCTGCCGCTGGCCTTCCTCAGCCTGCTCAGCCGCCCGCCCGGCGCTTGGCTCTTCGGGCAGCGCCTGTGCCTGGCCAGCGCCGCCCTGCACGCCGGGCTGGGCATCGCCGCCACGCTCACCATGGCCCTGCTCTCCTTCGACCGCTACTGTGCCATCGTCCGCCAGCCCCGGCACAAGATGGGCCGGCGCCGCGCCGCGCAGCTGCTGGCCGCGGTCTGGCTCGCCGCGCTGGCGCTGGCCGGGCCCTGGTACGGGCTGGCGGGCGAGGGGCGCCGCGAAGCCCGGCCCGGCGCTTACCGCTGCGTCTACGTGCTGCCCTGGGGCTCCTCGCGGCTCGGGCCGCCCTACGGCGCCGCCCTSATCGTGCTCTGCTACCTGCTGCCCTTCGCCGTCATGTGCTTCTGCCACTTCAACATCTGCCGGGCGGTGCGGCTGGCCGAGAGCCGCGTCAGGCCGCTCACCACCTACGGGCACCTGCTGCGGGCTTACGGCGAGATGCGCACGGCCACCACCGTCCTCATCATGATCGTGTCCATCATCTGCTGCTGGGGGCCCTACTGCATCCTGGGGTTAGCCGCCGCCGCCGGCAGCYTGCCCTTCTCGCCCACCATGGACGCGGTGGCCAGCGGGATGGCCTGGGCCAACGGCGCCATCAACCCCCTCATCTACGCCGCCCGCAACCCCAACATCTCGGTGCTGCTGCGGGGCAGCCGGGAGGGCGGCTACAGGACTAGGAACAACATGGTCGCYTACCTGTCGGTGCCGGGCCGCCAGCTCGAGCCCCGGAGCCGGGAGCGGGTCCGGGAGCGCTACATCAACCGGCAGAGCGGGCCCCCGGGCAGCGCCCTGTCCTCCTCCAGCCCGGCCAGCGGGGGAGAGGTGGCCATGTGGGCCTGCAAGACTCCCGCTGTGCTCTTCTGTCGGGATGGGCAGCCGGACACTATCTCTGAGGCCACCTTGAAGGCCAAAGGAGGTGCCATCGACACCAGCCTGTGAAGGGATGGAGGGCTGGGATGGAGGCATTTGTCTCCTTGAAAAAAGTCCTGGTGCTTGGAGCGCTTTGCAGCCAGACTACCAGGAAACTGGAGAGATGGGACTGTGTTTCTTCTCCACTGTGCGAGCTCTGGTTTGGTGCAGTCTGTKAGCAGCAAGAGATCCACAAGGAAAGGGTGTCCCCCTTCCTTTTTGGCAGGTCTGATGTGCTGGGTGACAGCCACCAAGCCCAGCCAACAAAAGAGCCAGGCTGCAAGAACGGGACAGTGTTCGCACCAGTCCTGCAGAAAGTACCACAGTGAACCTCAGAGGCTGACACACTGATGCAGCCCAAACCGACTGACTGACTGTGTAAGCTGTTTGTTAAGTGCCAAAAAATCAAGTGAAAACTGAGCACTGGCAGCTGGAAGCCACTGAAAACACCACACTGTGAAAACCTCATCATGGCAGGAAAATGTTGCTTKTGTCCATTGTATGTGGAAGTGCCAATAGTCATAAAGTAACAGTCTGTAGGCCAGGCTGAAAAAGTGATCTATTTCTATTATTTTTAAAATTTAAACTCTGAAGCAGAACAAAAAAAGTAATTGTGAAAGGGAAGATGTACGATAGAGGGAGGGGAGGGGAGGAAAGGAAGGTGATACCTCACTTGTCAGAATTTYAGCAGCCTTTTCTCTTTTTTTGTAGGTACTGTCAAAATACTATGAATATGAGAAACATGATTTCCTCAGACAGACTGAGGTAAAGGGTGTGGGTGTAAACTGTGGTGTGCACAAGATGTGTTTTCTTTTTGAGCCCATCCGAAGTGTCTCACATCTCCAAAGGTTTTACTRTAATTAGAAGAGCTGTGTGAGAGAAATGTCTGAAAGGAGAGATAAAGCAATACCACGTGCTCCCTGTGTGCTCTGCAGCATGKGAAAATGTGTATATGCACAGAACAAATATTGTTGTATTGATGGCAGCAATCCCTTGGAGTACAATATTTAAAAACCAGCTCTGTTTGCTGTTAAAAAAAAAAAGGAAAATAACACCATGGAAGTGCAATTGCACAGCATAAATTCATATGAATTTATCAGTGTGATCTCTTTGTTCAAGGGCCCAAAGCCTTAAATTAGTATTTTGAATCGGAAACTAGGATTTGGCCTTCGTTTGTCTTTGCCAGAGTTAAGTGTGAGACAGTGTTTTTCCTTGTACAGGCTTTAAAAACACAACGTTTCAGTTTTACTGGATTTTTCAGCTATTTGTGACGTGAGAGAACACAATGTCATTATTTTGTAMGTGAGGAAATAAATAAATCATCTTTTATGCAGGAAATGAAAGTGTCTCAGCCTGGCATCATTCTCAGGCCCAGCCTTGGGAAAGGGAACTCCTATAAAAAATTGCCAGATGAATGATAGCAGAGACATCTAATGGTTTGTGAAATTTTAATGCAGCTGGTTTCCATGCCGTAAGCATTACTGTAACTTTCCTCTGTGATGCTCCTGAAGCCCCACAAGGAAAAGATTTGACCCTTGACTACTCAGCACTGCTAATTTGCCCTGCAGCTACTGGATTTTGCAAGTCGAGCAGTGTCTTCTCGCTGTCTCAGAAAGAAGCTGTGCAGAAAGCCCACGGGTTTTC